ATAAGAAACAGACAAGCGCCACATTAAAATTTCCCAAAAAATTAATTGTAGTGGTTTAAAGCTCTGGAAGCTGTATCAGATAATATTTGTGGAGGATAGCTTAACCGCTTGTAACGAACCGTAAAATGGTAGGATGAACTAGAGCCTAATCGTGAGGGTCAGCGTCAAGGCACGTGTTAGACTCCGTAGTTAAAAGACCTTTTTTTTATTATTTTGGTTAAGGGCAGGGCATAGGGCATAAGCCAAAGGCCAAGGCTGCCCAACTTGGCCAAGCACTGCCTCATGACCACGACCACTTTCACGGCCAGTGGTCTTGACCACGGACCGTGAAGTGTTCCGTGAAGATCACTTGGGAAATCGGGAGGCAAGGCCAAGCTACTGCCCCAAGACCACGGCCACTTTCACGGCCAGTGGCCTTGACCACAGACCGTGAAGTGGTCCGTGAAGATGCCTTAGTATCTTGGGGTTGGCAAGGCAAAAAGGAGACACTGCTCAAGAGGACCACGGGCCGTGGTCCCCTTTCACGGTCCGTAGAAATAGACTTGGTCCCTGACAGGACTGCCCAAGTGAGGGGTTTTTAAGTAATTTTGTTTTAAAGTTAATTTATGTGGGGTTGATTTTTAATGGTTTATATCATAAATATAAATAGTTTTAAGTCTGAAAACACTTCATTTACTCCTTATTTCTCCAAGACCCAAATCAAAAACCCCAAAGTTCTTCTCTCTCAATATTTCTCTCTCAAAACTCAAGGAAGAAGAAGAAGTGGGAGCTAGGATTTGGATTCAAAGCTTTCTTCATCAAATTTCTTGGGGAAATCTTAGTAAAAGGTATGGTGATCCTTCATCTAGGGTTAGTTTTCACCCTAGAGTCAATTTCAAAGAAGTTTCACAGTTTTCAAGTTTCATGAAAAAAAAACCCTAAGTTTCACTCAATCTCATGGGTTCTTGCATCAAACGTTTTCAAATGATAACTATGATTATATTGATATTTAATTAATGATTTAAAATGAAAATACTCTATGAACCCGTGATTTCTCTCAATTCCTAAATTGTGCCTTATGAAGTGGGTTTGTTGATTATGAATGAATGTTGATGTATTTATGCCTAGATTGACTTAGATTGTTGACTTGTATCATCATGTATGCCTCATTATGGTGAATTGTTGGTGAATTGAGGATTTGTGATCATAGCCTTGAAAGGGCAAGTTTGACCTAAGTACTTGTTGTAGTAACACAAAGAGATGTTGATCCACTTGAAAGGTGGGGGTGTTTAATTATGATGTAGTTACTTGATGTTAGTATAATTCTACATGTATTCTTGATTAACCTAAGATTCTAGGGTTATGTCATGAAAGAGGCAAATTGAGGGTTTAAATGTGATCCTCCAAGAATGATGAATTTCTCAATGTACTGCCTTAGACTAGATCACCTAGACTTGAATTGGTTTAGGGTAATGCTTCTAAACATGAATTGACTTGATCATGATACTATGTGAATGTTGATGAATACTTGAAGTATAAAGTGCCAATCATGATGTGATTAATGTATTGATGAGTTGTCGGATCATGGTATTCCCTTATCTATTGTGCTATTGCTATATGTTGGAATGAGTTGGTCCATAACCCTTGAGGGGCATATTGTGAAGGTTTGTGCATGTTGACAAGATTGTGTGTGAACTCATGATTTACTTGGAAGTTGAAAGTCACATGAATATTGTGTATATTGTGGTATTGTTGAACGGCCATTCTTCTCTTACCCTTACACTTAATTATGAATGAAGTGTCTAGGATGATAATGTTGTTGTTTGTGTCATTGCAAGCACAATTACACACACACACTCCTTGCATAAACATGATATGATGTATCAATGGTGTTAATTGAAAGTATAGTTCTCATATGCACCTTTACACATTATTATGCATGAAATGTACATAACCATGTTGATCCTATTGTGTTGATTGAAAGTCCATTCTCATGAGAACACATGATCTTGGTGTGATAGTTATTCTCGCATACTAATGTTGATTCTAAGGTGAAAGGTAGTTCTCACTTAAATGAATCTATGAGCTAATTGGTGAGTTGTAATGAACGAAGGGTAAAGTATGCCTTCACACATGTAGATACAATTCCATACTAATTATGTATAAATGGGGAAGTAATGCCTAGTACTGAGTGGATATGGACAATGAGGAAAAGGCCCCTCCGCTAATGCAATAGGTTGGGGCATCTATAGTAAACTCATGAGATGGAAGCTCCTCCACTAATGCAATAGGTTGGGTTTCTAGTAACAATCTCCCTATCCCATAAACTATGTGCCAAAACATAGGACTTAGCTAGTGGATCCACTTAGAAGCTAAAATATGATTAGTTCTACCTTCGGCAAGTAAGAACGCCTTCTTTCGGTGTTGGAGTTTATATGACACCGGATTCCATGTAGCTCACATGGTCTATGTCGGTTATGGCTAATATTCCCTAATAACAATAAGATAATGAATATGATAGGAACTATACTATGACTTCTTAATGGGTTTACTTGGTAGAAGTGGAAGTATGGGACTTCACTTTTACATTGCACAAGGAGACTTATCAGGATGTTGTGGAATGGTTTCCTTATGGTATGATAAGATATGAATATATGACTTTCCTTATGTTTAGTTTATGTACTTGTATAATTCCTCATTTATGTCTATGGATTATGGTAAGCTTGGAGATTATGAAAATGAATATGTGGCTTCAAGGAATGCTTAGTAAGGTTGGTATTATGGGATGCCAACCATACATTGCACAAGTGTTCTTAGAGGTTGCTAAGGTATTGATATTACTATGTTATAAGTGCATTGTGACTATAGCTTGTCTTCTATGTTTGAGAATGCATATTGGCTTTTCAAACTTAATGTATGAAAGTCCTCTAAATAAATGAATTTGTCCTAAATGAATCTAATGAAGAAGGTTGGCTTAAATGCTTAAATGTAAAGATGCATGCTATACTTGGATTGTATTATGAGTTACTTCCTTGTCATGTCTATTCTATATGAATGTGCCTTGTCTATGGTGACTTCAAAGGAGTACTTAGCGTGAGTAGTAGTATGGGATGCTACTTGCACATTGCACGAGTATGACTTAGAGTTGTCTTAGATGTTGGTCTCAATGTGATGATGTGATTCATATAATGTTTATGTCTCTTAAATGCCTTATTGTGTAAAGGTGGAAAGGATGAATGGTAAGTTCACTTTTGGGTGACCTTAAGGTGGTGCCTTAGTGTGGGTGGTGGTATGGGATGCTACCCATACATTGCACAAGGCATAACTTGAGGGTTACTTGAGGTGGAGGCTCAAGTTGAAGGTAAAGGGTTATATGTGATTTTGCTCAAATGTGAATTATGTGACTTCATATGTTGGTTGTGACTTATATTATGCCTCTTGTATCAATGTTCATGAAGTTTTACAAAAATGGCATAATGCATGACTTTCAACAAAATGTCCCTTTTAAGGCATGTTTTTGCATGGTCATCATACTTAGTACATTTTTGTGTGCTAACCCATATTTTCTTATTTTTACTACAAGTGTAGGTTTCGGCAAGTGATTGCTTTCTCTAGGGAAGCTTGGGATTAGAGTTCTCTCAAGACCTCTTTTGGTATGTCCTCATATGTCGAGGACAAGGATTTTATGTTTCTAGTTTTTATGTTTAAGACTTTGTTAAGACTTCAATTGTAAAGGGTCGTGACCCTATCATGTTAAAGTTTGTCCGAGATGGCCATGTGAGACTTAGTATTCCGCTCCTTTATAATTGTCTTTTGATGTTGGATTTATTAAAGAAAAGTTTTAAATTCCACACTATTTCTATGCATCTAATGTTATGAATGCTAAGAGGCTTGTATTAGACCCCTTCAGGGTCGAGTACGCCGTGTTACGAGTAGGGGGTTCTCTCGATTCGTGACAGCGGATCGCCAAGTGCATCTGCGATCCCGACTAACTGCGCCAAGTGATCCTTCGCAGCACATTTTTAGACAACTGTAAATACTAGTTTAAATTTTTATCTTAGTATGCAATTTTAGATACAACATTTTATTTTCTATGTTTTCAAGTAGAGAACATTTTTGCCCACTGCAATTTAATCAATTTGAGGGGTTGTTATTAACCTCCCCCGCAATTTATGTTTATTTTTTTGGAGTGGAACTAAATTGCCCTTCTATATATGTTGATTGTATTAAGTGGCATCAACCATACAACATTGCCAAACTCTACTAGCTTGGAATGTATGACACTGACATTTAAAACCACTACTAAGAGTCACATTTTGAGGTTAATAATTTACTCACAATGAGGACTTTTTATAATTGTAGCATGGAGAATAACATACGACAAAATAGTCTTTTATGTCTACTTATAATCTGGATAGAGCAAAACTATAATATCATAAAAACTAGTATATTTTAAATGTATGAATTACTAATTATTGTAACTTATAGTTTTTTTTTATGTAGCTTCCAAATATATAATATTTATTCAAAAAATTGCAAGATGAGATTGTCGGTGACTAGCGGTAACATTTTTTTGTTTGTTAAATCTGTTCGTCATCAGTTTTAATTTGTGTGTTGGATTTTATAAATGTCTAATATGTATTTATTCTAGTTTTGATTAGTGAATTGATTTTAAATAATGGGTTGGTTGGATGGGTATAAAAGTACAAATTTTGAGAGGAAATGGTCGTTGGTTATGTATATGGAGTGATGAGCATTAATGTTGTAATTATAAGTGGAGATTTGGTTGTAGTTAGGATGGGAGTATATATATATAATCCGAGTATAGTAATAGTAAATGTAACGCATTGAGATATTTAATTGAGTAAAGGGTGGATGTACATGGTTGAGTGTTTAAAGGGTTTCTGTTTTGAGAGATGGTGTAATAAAGAGTGAATCGTTTTTATCCTGATTTAGAGATTTGCATGTGTTTGCAGCCAATATATATGAAATAGTGAGATCATTTTTCCACAGTTAGGAAAATGCAACAGGAAGAGAGCCAATCAGCAGCTTCGTGCACAAGGGCAAGTATGAAGAGAAAGTTCCATCAAGTTGGGGAGGTTAGATATTGTACTAGCTAGCTAGTCACCTTTCTTTGCACATTTTCTCTCTAATTACTAATTACCTCTTGCAGGACAAGGGCCACACCGCACGTTCATCCAAGTTCAATAGTAACTCTATTTTCTACATACATCTTATCTTATATATGCTATGCGCCACCCATTTATTTAACTTGTAGAGTTGGGATTCTTTTTTATCTATCAGGTAAACCAACAAAGTTGCCAGAAAAACGTATACTACAACTTATTCTCGACGTTCTGCAACGGTTAGTTAGCAATATTCATCCTCAAATTATACATACATTATAAGGAATATCTTACTACTTTTTTATCATGTTAGGAGGGACACCTATGAAATATTTGCAGAACCAGTTGATCCCACTGAGGTTTCGTTCATCTTATGATTGATTGGGTTTGGTTTGGCTTTTGAAGGCCAGCCATGTCTTGTTAGTGACTTACATACATCTTGTATTTCTTTTAAGGTGGAAGATTACTATGAAATCATTAAAGAGCCTATGGATTTTGGTACAATGAGGGCTAAGCTTCATGAAGGAATGTATCACAACCTCCAACAGTTTGAGGTAAATTGGATCATCTTTTTCGCAAGTTGAGATAATAAATAATAGTACTTGATTGTAGCAGGCAGCATTTGAACCTCCAATCATTAGTTGATGTACTCTCATCAACTGACCTTTAATTTGTTTGGTCTTAATAATCTTGAGAATTTCCTTGTACCTTAATCATCTTTTGAAACTGCAGCGTGATGCATTTCTGATTCCGAAAAATGCAATGCATTTCAACTCCTCTGGTACTGTCTACTTCAGACAGGTATTTCTTTTTACACAATTTCATTTTTACAAATATCACCAGAACTAACAAATTCTAATGTTTTTTTTACAGGCTCGTGCTATATATGATCTAGCTAAGAAAGCATTTCACGTCCTAAAAACTAATCCCAAAAACATTGAAGTAGAATTTCCGGTGAACAGACGTAGATCGATGAGAAGATTGCAAAATGAGGCCAGGGATACAAGACATGTCATACCAGAAGGTGCCCTTGATGTTTCTTCCAAGAATATTGGACTTGGCCCAAGTGTTCCATCAACATATAGAAGAAGCAGCAAAGAAAGGCCTTTGTTATGCACCAAAGATGCTGCTCCGATTGACAGTGCATTCTTATTAGGTAAGACAGTGAGATTTACACGTGTTTCTTTGATTATCAGTTATACTCTTGACAAATACTCTAATGGGGAAAGTAATTCCTGGTTATTCACTGTATTTAAACAGGTAATAGACATGCTCAAAGGTTGTCTTCTCTTGGTGCTGGTCGTTGTTCTACATACGAATTTTTCAGGCCTTCGCCTTACCATGACACTAGCTCATTTCTGTGTAACCAGAACCCCGACTCACTAATTCTTGTAAGTTTTTTCTCCCCAGCCTGCTTCCTTTAAAAACCGAATCACATAATTCAGTCAGTTTAGTTGGAGGATATTTTTCTGTCATGTATTTTATACTAGGCTACAACATACATGAAAAAAATGTAAGTGCATATTTAAAAATATTTGATTTTGATATTGTAGAACAGGAACGGTAGTTACAGAGAGAGCTTGATGACATTTGCCAGAGATTTAGGACCAACAGCACAAATGGTTGCCAACGCGAAAATGCAAGGGAGCCATCCATTTCTTCTCTCACACACAACTAAAGGTCCTCCAACGTGCTTAGGATTCGCTGCCTTTGCACATGTACAAAACCAATCTAATACTGGAGTTCTAACCTCATCTCAGAAGCTGTCTAGTCCTGTTCAAGGTTTTTGCTCCGTTCTCAAAAGCACCAGTGATAAGATCGATGTGAGTAATGTTGCAAAGGGAGATGAGACTTGCAAAATAGCTGGCATGAGCAGTCAGAAAGGGGCCCTTCCTCGCACAGAAAATTCAGAGAAGAAAAGTACATCAATTTTGTGCTACAAAAGGAATGTTCATAAAGTAACAGAAGAAGCGGCCAAGAAAACTCAAAATGGAAGCGAGAGAAAAGAGAATAACTTGGGAACTCATATCGTTACTAATGGGACATCTGGGGATACGAAGAAACCCGGCAGAAGAAGTGCGAAGGTTGAAGAAAACAAAGTTCTTCCAGTTGTACTAGCTCTAGAGCAATCTCATTCAAGTCTATCTGAGTTGAAGTGGAGAAACAAGAAGAGTTCCAATTTCACATCACGTAAGGCACGATCACAAAGCAAGATTGCAGAGCCCAATGTCACTGGGACAATTCCAGGTCAAACTAAAAATAACAGCTTTAGATCAAAGCACGAAAACAAAGCAGCTATTTGTGATCAAAACAACAATTTTGGCAGCAGTATCAACCCAACTTTTCTTGAGACAATGAGCCAATCTTCAGAGTTGAAATTGAACAAGACAATTCCTGTAATGCCATTTCCAGGAATATTGAGCTCCAGGTTCACTTTTGATATGCCGTTCTTGAAAGCTCAGCTAAATCAAATGAATCCAGTAGGGGAAAATGACATGCCTCAAGTATCAAGAGATAACATGGAGTGGTCATTGTATGGTCACGGAAGTAATAATAAGATGGGCAGGAAAGTAAATCCATCGGTGTCGTCTCTGCAAGACAGACCAAACGGTACTCTGCAGACCATGCCGACTTTCATTTACAATAATCAATCATCACATCATTCAATAGACACTGACTTGGCCCTTCAGCTCTGAGTTAGTTTGAACAAATGCTGTTAATTTATCCCAAGTAGATTGCTTCCTGGATATTGTTCTGTCATGTAAAGCGTACAGTACATTGAATTAAAAATATCCTCTGAGAAAGTTGATTGAGTTAATCCTTGTAACAACTTAAAATCAATGCATAGGATATAACTCATATATGCCTCTCTCCTCTCCTGTTTATTTTAGTTTTGGTTGGCCTTAAATGTGCAAGGTGAAGGATCGAAACACAAAGTAGCACATATCACATGATTTGATTCTTCATGCATAAGTGAAGTTAACTTGAGAAAATTAAAGATGGTATGGTGACTATCGGCTAGGCCCACCAAATAAATAAGAAGAGGGATTAGCAAGATTACACAATTTAGTACATTCAAATGAGAGTGGTATAAAAATTGATGTTTTGAAGAAGTTGAACGTAATTTAGAATAGAAAGTAGATTCCAACAACCCTTTTGATTGTATAGTAGTGAGAACATATTTATAAGTCATCAGGAAAAAAAGTAGAAAAAACATTTGAGTATAAACATGAAATAGAGAGTTGGAATAAAAAGTGTGTGGAATGAACATATAAATATTTACCTTCCTTCAACAAGACTTGTATTTAAACAAAAAAAGAATTAATTGGTGTTTGCAGATTTATATTTAAAAAATGAAAGTCAAATTTGTTAAGTAGAGAGTAGTACTCCATAAATAGGGGATGTGTGTGTGAGTGTAACTTAAAAGGAGGAGTTGGTTGGAGATGCAGATTGTGTGTGGGGTGTCGAATATATGTTGTTATGTTTGTGGGGTCTAATAATCCAAGTGAAGATGGCGTATAAAAAGAGACAAGGGATGAGCAAGTCGTCAACTTTGAGCATTTTCCGTCCACCTTCCGATGAGGATGAGAATGAGAATGATGATGAAGGAGATTCGTTTTGTTCGTCAACTCTTGCCGCTCAGGCTATTAATTAGAGCCTCGGTTGCTCATCGCGACTCTTCTTCTCTCTCCTATTTTCCACAACCGGTCAGAACCCCTTAAGGCTAATGAGTACTCAAACTTTAAGAAGTTTTGTTTGTATACAATAAATAATGAAATACTTGTTGTCCAATCAGGCCTCACTCTCAAGTGCAGGTCCAGGTGGTTTTTGGGGAGTTCTCGTAAGTAAAGCCAAAGCAATTCTTGAAGGAGATGATCAGCAATTTCAATCTCCCACAAATCAAAACCAGGTCTGATCATCACCAGCGGCAGCTAAACGTAATAGGGGGACTAAAGCAAATTAAATTTCAATTCGAAGTCTAAAATATAAACAAACTTCGTATACGTATTTATTTAAATTTTATTTTTCTTACACTATTTAGATGAAATTTAATATTGTTTTTCAATTACTAGTTTTAGGTAAGATTTTATCAGCTCAACATTGAAATACATCATTTCAGTGAGGCAATTATTATATGAATTGTTAACACTTAAAATAATTCTATAAGTAATAAGTTGACAAATATTAAATAAAGATAAGAGTAGAATCATAGAATCTCAAGAAGTTGATGACTTGATATACCTCATTTTAATATACTTGTTGTAATGCTTGAAACTAAAATTTTAAAACAAATAAAAAAGAATTTGTAATACACTTTGTTCAACATTTTTCACTATTAATTCTTATTTAACAAAGTACAAAAGATGTTAAAGTGGGTGAAACAATATATTTTTTAAAATATTATACTTTTTATCATAAATAATCAATTTTTTCTATAAAAATTTAACACATAATTTATTCTTAATAAAAATTTGGGGCTAAGGCATAAGTCTTATTTTACAAAGCATAGCCGCCCCTGATCATCATCATCCATCAACTTTTCATGATCTAACATCTTTCAAAAATATCCAGTTTTATCACAACCATAACGTCGTCTCCACAAAAATGAATAACCCTATACTGCGCAAACGCCTCCATGCACTCACATCTTCTTTGAACCACATTGGTGATGCCATTGGAAATGCATTGGAGGTATGGTATAATGACTACATTCACTTAATTCTTTCCTCATATATTCTCCATTAATGAATTTATACTTATCTCTCCACATCTCTTTCTGCTCTGATCTATTGTGCCTAAGAATGTCAAGTTGATTTTCTCAACAACTTAATACTAGTGTATATGATTTCCTAACCTAGTAACATAATCTTTTCTTCAATCTCAGGAGGGACGTACAATTGTTGAGTACAAGACCGCTGACATTATTCAAGAGACGCAAACTGCACATCACGAGAAAATTAGGTACCAACTCTGACGAGCAAAATCATGTCTCTACTCTAAATAGCCAAAGGCAGCAATCCTCAACACAAACCAATCATGAAGATCAACTAAAGGCATCTCGTGATGTAAGTTGCAAATTTATGAACTAAGGCCATAAAAATCCTCAACTCTACTTCACAACTGTAGTTCAAAATCTCCTTACTTACTTGTGATGAATTGAAGTGCATGATTAGTCTGCATTCAGGTGGCGATGGCAACTGCTGCTAAAGGGAAGCTTCTTCTACGAGAGGTGAAAACTGTTAAAGCAGATGTTGCTTTTGCAAAACTTAGATGTTGTCAGCTTGAAGAAGAAAATAAAATCCTTCGGGAGTCTTGTGAAAAGGGAGACAATCCTGCAGATGATGACATGGTAATCATCCACCTACAATTGTACAAGTGGTATAAATACATGCGTTTTCATGGATCTGAAATTGCAGATACGGCTTCAACTTGAAACACTATTAGCAGAGAAGGGTCGTCTTGCACATGAGAATTCTGTGTACGCTCGTGAGAATCGCTTCTTAAGAGAGATTGTGGAGTATCACCAATTAACTATGCAAGATCATGTTGTGTATCTGGATGAAGGCATTGAACAAGTGTCAAGGATGCATTCTACTTCCCCTCCAACACCTCACTAACACCCCAAGATAATGAAGCCACACCAGGGGAACATTTCACAACACAATGATTTGCTGCTGCGACTCCCCACTTCATATAACTTTTTTCTACCACATTTTTTGTTTCTTCTCTTGTTCAAATCTTGTACTTGCCCGGGAATAGAAAAGAGTTGGTTAAAGGTCTCATGAGTAAAGCATAGAGCAGTTTGAACCCCATTTTGAAGGATGTGATAAGGGAAGAAGTGATAAGAAAAGAAGTGGCTTCATACAAGTATTATTTAGAGAAAATACATAAACTTATACCCTTCTTTTATAACCAGACACTCAGGGATCGTTTGGTACAAAGATGCATAATACAGGGATTACAAACGCATGGATTAGTAATATAGGGATTAGTTTTTATCAAGTGTTTGGTCCATTTGATTTTCAGGGACAAATAACTTCATCATTGCTAATTCATATTTTGTCATTAAAAATCTTGTATGACGAAAAAGATTTCGTCAATCCTTCGTCACTAAATGTGTTCGCTAAAAGTATACAAAGACGATTTAGTGCTTCGTCGCTAAAAGCATTATATTAACTACAAAAAGAAAAATCGTCCCTAAATGCATAAACATTTATGAAGAATTTATTTGTCATAAAAAGTGTAACTCTTTTGTAGTTAATAGTATGTTTTGCCACTAAAAAGGTTATTACTACCGACAAAATTATATCAGCAGTTGTCTTGAACAAATGTAATTTCGTCACTAATGACTACTTTTTATATAACAAAAAAATTATTATGTCCTTAAATGTATAAATTAGTGACAAATTTATTATTATAAAAAAGTTAATAATTTCGTTGTTAAATTTTTCATTTTGTCTCTAAAAGTATTGTTTTTACCGACAACATATATTGTCAGTTTAAATTATCATGATTAGTGACAATTATAGTTGTCACAAAATAAAAAATTAATTCGTATTCAATAAAAAGGGTTACTAGAACAATGTATTTTTTGTCACCGAATGTAGTCAACTTCTGATGAACTAATTTATTTTGAGATGAAAACACTTGTCTTAAAAAGTTTAATTTGGTCGTTGCTAAAACTTACTTTTGAAGATAAAATATTTTGTCACTAATTACTATCAATTGATGACATTTAATTATTTTATATTGATATTATTTATTAAATTAGAGTTGCATAAATTAAAAATTAAATAATAAAACATGCTAGATATTAATAGAATTCACCCATGATCATGTAATTAAAAATAATTAAAATTATACTAACATAATATCTCGTTACAAACTCCTTAAATAAAAGTAAAATTGTTCAATAACAAAAAATATCTAATTGAAATATGCTAAATATTACTCCTAAACTAAGAAATATAAGTAAAAGTTCCTTCCAAGGTCCAGTAATATGATGACACATAGCTTGCAATTAATCTTGATTCAATTCTCACCTTTTATACATGTGAAAAAAGAGAAAAAATAAAGAAGTGTTTATACTAGGGTAAAAAATAAAATATGTTACACAATTCGTCTTTCATATGTTGTAATGACCAGTTTCATAAGGCTTATTGAATATAGATTATTTGTGGAGTATATCATCACAAACTACTCTACATAGAAACATAAACTCCATCAATATATTCATGAAAACTACTAACAATTGAAATATAATGTAACTTATGCAGAAATTATCACATTAGAATCAAATATGATGTGAAATAAAGGAGAAACTACATATAATATTGTATTGGTATTGTAATTTATTTTTGTGTTTTCTTGTGTTGGCGTGTGTTGCCCGTAGTGGGTGTAGGGTGTGTGGGATGTGTTTTCTGACTGTGTATTGTTGTTGGTATGAGGGAGTATCGTTGATTGTGAGTATTAGTTGTAGGAATGGGTAGTATACATATGTTGTAATTTTTTCGTACTTCTGCGTGTGTGTGTGGTTTTACTTTTTTTTTTTTTTTTTTTTTTTTTTTAGTTTTGCAGTGGTGTGGGGTAGATATAGGATGAAAGATGAGGTGAGTAGTGGTGTGAGAAAGTGGGGGTAGTGTAGGTGTAGTGGGGAGGATAATGGGTAGTTTAAGATTATTTTTTATTATTATTA